ACACAAATTGCTTCCAGAACGGTAGCTAAAAAACCACACTACACAGTTGGTCATAATGGACGTCCCGGATGTCGCACAGCACAAGAAATAAATCGTTCATGGCGCAATAATAACGATCCGACGCGTTTCTGGTTCTGCGAGGAACTTAATAGTGAAGCTGTGGAAGTATTTTGTCCTGCTGGCGGTTACATGAATGAGTTCAGTTTGTGTGTGCCCTGGAATATGTGGGAATGGCTTCCACCACAGGATCCTCCAACAATGAGCATGGCATAAGAATTTCATGGCATATAATTGATATCCCTAAGAAAATAGTTTTATTATAAATTCATTTTTCCAATAAAAATTTTGAAATTGTAAAATGGTAAAATGGCAAATAATGTGAATATTACTAATAATTTACCACTTTTGTGGTGTTCGTGATGGCTTGTTAGTAGTTTATTGTTTCCTCCTTTTATCAGTGACTTAATTTATTATCAATTAGAGGGGTAGTTGAAATTTTTTTACTCCTCTACTAAATTGAAAATAATTTAGAAAAATAAAATTTAATTAATTTCACCGAGTAACTCCCTTCTGTTCCTTTCTCTTGTTCGTGTTAGGGTTTATTAAAACTTATATAGAAAAATTTCATTTCGTACTTTCGTTCGTTTTGTCCTATTTTTTCTACTGGCGTCATAAATATTCTTCAACAATATGAATTATGAACCATTTATCTTCATATAGAGAATGTCAGAAAAAATAGCTAACTCAGAACTTTGAACGATTTTACAGTTCAGTTGCCCTTACAGCTAAGTTCAAAACAAAGGTTCAAATTTTTATTGCAAACAGCTTTTATGATGATCTCTACATGACGATAGATTTAATATGACTTTATTTTGGGAATAAACAAGTTTCTTTTTCATTTTCTAATAAAGCAATATTACACAAATACATTTTATTTAACATTGTTAAAGATTTTTATTTTTGATTGGAATAAAAAATATTTTTTGTTTCTTATTTTTGCTGATTTAAAAAAAAGCAATATTTAACAAACATGTCAAAATAATGCCCCATTAAAAACTTCTTTGGCAGTATCAATTAATATTATAAATTCGGATATAAGTTCCGTACTGTTGAGGAATAAGTTCCACCTAAACTATTGTTGTTCTTTAGGATAAAGCACTCAGTTAAGAAAATTCAACTGCACGTTGAAAGCATATGTGGTAACACTCTTCTTGCTTAAGTTCAGAGTTAAGCATAGTCACTATTACACTCCCTTATGGACCAAACTCATTGTCTAACATAACCGAATTTGTAGACATTTGGTTTCTGTGATAATAGATTTGATCTCTGGCGGTGTGTCCAGGATAACCGAATTTGTAGACATTTGGTTTCTGTGATAATAGATTTGACCTCTGGCGGTGTGTCGCAAGTATCACTTATACTCCAAAATAATACAGGGTGTTGTCTTATAGTTTATTTGGATTCATAAATACACTACGTTCTAAGCATATTTTATTTGATATCATTTTATTAGTAAAATATTGAAATGGGGTTCAGAATGGACCTTCTTGGTATCAATATAGCGTGTCGTATCATATATCATTTTTAAAATGTGGTTTTATTGATTTCTCATACGGTGGCACAGGGTAGAATTTTGTCAATGTGTAAAGTCAATTCCAGATTAATACCAGAACCAGATCAAATTGGATCTCAAATAATAATATATAACGTTGTCATAAAATGTATATTAAAATTTACAAATTTATTCTCTGTGAATTCTCAAAACAAGTCTAATACTGATAACACTTATCCATTTTGGGAACACAGTAGTTATCCCACCTAATATATACATTGTGACCGAAAAGCTTCCGGAAATTTTAAATAAAACGCAAAATTCTTAATCTTCATCAATATTTATTTTATCTCCTTCAAAATATGCTCCATTAGAAGCGATACACAAATGCCAACGTTTCTTCCAATCATCAAAACATTTTTTATAGGCGCTTTCCGGTATGGCTTTGAGTTCCCTCTGCGAATTCTGTTTTACGTCTTCTATGGATTCAAAACGCGTTCCTCTGAGTGGTAATTTGAGGTTGGGAAACAGGAAAAAGTCACACGGTGCAAGATCAGGTGAATACGGTGGCTGTTCGATGGTATTTATTGAATGTTTGGCCTTAAAATCGTTGATAATGTTGAACAAATTGAGGTGAATCGGAACAAGCCGGGCGTTGACACGTCGCATACACAAATTGTCCACCAAAATCAAACGAGCCATCTCACGACCGATGCCTAGCTCTCGTGCTATCTCTCTAACACTCACATGAGGATTTTTGAACACGATTTCCTTTGCCTTTTCAATGTTTTCGTCGGTGGTAGAGGTCGAAGGTCGTCCAGAACGCGGCATGTCTTCGACGGTCGTACGACAGTCCTGAAAGGCTTTGTACCACTCATAAACTTGAGTTTTCGATAAAACTGATTCCCCATAAGCCTTTTGTAGCATTCGCAACGATTCTGCACACGAAATTTCGTTCGAAAAACAAAATTTGATGCAAACTCTTTGTTCAATATTTTTTTCCATTGTTTTTTTCGCAACGCACTACTGAGGTGAACTGGTTTCAACAGCTGCCGTAAACGAACTGTCCGACAGATCGCGCTCATTTTGGCATAGTAATTAAGGACAGTGCTGCCAAACTACATAAACTTAAAATATCGAAAAATATACAGCGCGCGAATTTTAAATGAGAACCTCCGAAAACTTTTCGGTCACAATGTAGAACGAAACCTTACCATTAAAACTGTTCTCGTTTCTTAAAAGCGTTAGGATTGGATAAGACAATTGAATGTCGTATAATAGACTACTACAGTTGTGCTGTAAAGTATTCTATACAGAATAATAATAATGTCACATATCCAGACAGACATACATTGAAAAAAATTTGTTTTCAACTCTTAGGAAAACAAATGGAATCCAATGTCCCGTTCATTGCATTAAATGTGAAGAGAATAAATAAATACATAGAGTTTTTAGTACATTATCTTAATAAAGTTTGGAGTTTATAACATACTAAGCTTCAAGATATCGTTATGGCGTTTACTTATTGTAAGAGTTATATCTTACACCATCTCTTTTTAGCGGATATTTCTTTTAACGAATCGATACTATATCGTCAAAAGTGTCGTATGCCTCATTTGCATAGACTAAAAATAGTCCCCTTCGTATGCCAGACCGTCATTGTAGACTATTAAACATTCGCTAGTACAGAAAGCAAATCTTCTATATTAATTTATAAATTTGATTTCTGATGTATTAAAAATCCAATGCAGTTTTTTTATATGTCTTTACAAAATAAAAATAAAAATTTGTTCCATTAAAAGTAAAGCTTTAGCACTTGTATATACTTACATAGAAACCCTTTGGCGATAATCTTGTCAGAGTGTATCTTTGCACTTGAATAACTATACATAAATCTTTTGAAATTTTCACTTACAACTACACTTGGCAATTAACGAGATACGCTTATCAGCACTTGCCATTTGCAGTGAAATCAACATTGGAAACGGTCAATTGGCTGTTTGGAAAAGTGCTTGCAAGTACTTGCAATATGTTCCCTTTGGCAAAAGTAATTTTCAGTTAAAACTGCTTGTAAGCAGCTGAGAGAATATTAAATGGAAAATGGGTGTACAAGACTAACCCCAATGAAACCCACCCTAAAAACCCAACCCATTTTCAGCTTTACAAGATATGGGAAGGTTATGTACGTACATACTGTATAT